TGCTTGATTTACCTCCTTTTTGAAGCAGAGACTCATTTATTTTGCAAAATCTTATCTAAACACACCTCATAATTGATATTGATATGAGTATTTTGTTTGTTTTTTTTTTTTAAATAAATGAAGTGGTGTTTCAACAAACTCATGCGAATTGTCAGTACTCTAAACTCGAAAATTTTAACATATCCTAGCAAGCTTCATTATAATATAAAGACAAATCAAGAAGTCGATTTTTGTTTAAATCATTTAAAAACCAGTTGCAAAATTGACTTTGACCAATTCTCTCATTTAAGTCTTGGAACAGTTTTTTGTTTCTTCTGATACTTTAGGTTTTTCTGTTGATTTTTTTATGAATACTTCCTTTTTCATTACATTTTTTTATTACTCTCGACACTTTTTGCTGAAACGACTTATTATTCTTCGCGAATTTTTTAAATTGACTGCTGCCAAAACTTTTCGATGGTCCAAAAAAAAGCAACGCAAAAATTCGATCTTTATCCCCTCCTACTCGTCTATAAATAACGCTGTTTCTTCAATTTTCAGCAGTTATGGCCTCTGGTATCATTCAGTGACATAACCTCCCTTTCTCCTCCTTTTGTTGTCCTGAAAATGTCCTTTACAAGAGCGAGCGAAACGTTTAAACCAAAAAGACCCAGATTTCAACAATATTGCACATTGTAATATTTACTTTTGCTCCATCAAAATAATGGACTCACATATTGCTATTGGTTGACATAAAAAAGACTCGAAAACAAATGACGTCATAAATGGCACTATAGTGTCAAAATATAGCATTTAAAAAAAATAAAATGTCTGATTATAATTTTATGCGTCATTATTTGTAAAAGAATTTGGAAAAAAATACAAAATTTTAAAGTAGGGCTCAGAACTTTCAAAGTAGGGCTTAGCCCTACTTGCTCCCTCCCCACTAGCTACGGGCCTGCCACAAATAAAAGTAAAAAAAACAAATTTTATATTATTTGGTCAGTTTTAAAGTTATTACGAAAAAAAAACTTTTCATTCCCAAATTCTAAAGGCTGTTAAATTCTTAATAGTAGAGATAGGACATAAGCTGCTATTTAAATTAACATAATTTTATAGGTCATTTTGAGGTTCCATTATTGCTTAATATTTAATAAACAACCTGTTTGTAAGTTATATACAGAAAAACCAAAAATAGCACACAAAATTCATAATTTTATGGGTTATTTTTTTTAAATACCCGAATAGGTCGATTTTATTTTTTTAAATGATAAATGTAGGTACAATACTATCCAAATGTAGCATTTATAAAAATAAAATCGACCTACGAGTATTTGAGGATTTTTTTGAAAAAACACCCATAACAAAAATTATGAATTTTGTGCATTAATTTTGGTTTGAAAGCTCGTAAGCAATTTTTGAATCGGTTTGATTGTGAAGCAAAAAATTATTTATTTGGTTGAACGGAATGGACGTTTTTCTTTTTTAATTTTTCAAATTTTCTTTTTTTTAGAATTATTTAGGTGCAAAATTGAATTAGAACCCTGTAACGATATGGAACCAAACGTTTTTTGGTTAAACTATTTATTTTTTGGAAAAACTAATCGATGAATAATAAAGTAGGTACTATAAAAATGTGACATTTCGCAAAAATAATTTTTTTCGATTTTTTGCGTTTTTGAGTTTTGCATCTTCTTTTAAATTGCAAAACCTTTTATTTACAAAGCCTAGATGATCTAACTAACTTTATTTGATTTTATGGAATTTTGAAAATAAAAAACCAAATAAAATTCATTTTCCAAACATAAAGCAAATAATTTTAAAACATGCTTGATTCCATACTTTTTGTTCACCTTGTATATTTAATTTTACGTTTATTGAAGTCTAGTATCTTTCCCAAGAAGATTATACATAAAAATCGGGTTTTCTCGGTGGAAAAGGAAGAGACATTTTCCGGTTGTGGTAAACGAAATGTGACATTTATTTCAACTTTGCTGCACATTTATAATCAACATCATGGTGAAGTGTGTCTCAATTATCTTAATTGCTGTAATTTTTTCTACTTCATGTGAAGACCTCTGTCCAAAAGTGTTGACAGTGGACATAACAAAAGGTGTAAAAACAAATAATTCAATAATCGAAAACGGAATTATTTATAAAGAAAGTGATTATTTTGTGAAAAACGGTACAATTTATGGTTGTGTTTGTAACATCAAACCATGTATAAGAAAGTGTTGCGGTCCTAATGAAATTATGGTGAATAAAACGTGTATGGTAAATGATCATAACTGGACTTATTCCATACATGCGGGATTGGTTCCAAGAAATATTTCGTCGAAACACCATTTTATTTATAATAAATACTGCAAAAATGGTAGAATATTGTTACTGCCCCATTTGGAAGCTTCACAACGTTTCTACGTGCAAATCAATGGTTCCTTATTTTTGCCGGGTTTTAAGAACAAAATGCGTAATCCTGAAAATTACTGTTTGGAAGTTTTTGATGTTTATCGTTTTAAACTGAAAAAAATGGTTTCTGCGTTGGTTTGTTTATCGGAAGAGGATACAGTCGATGCCCAATCGTCGAAATTACTTTCAATGGGTAAGTTTTATACTTATTTTTGTCTTTAATAAACACAATTTTATTAATTTATAGGGCAAAATTAATTTGACACACGACCACTTAGACCAATTAGAATTGCATAACTATTCAAAAAATAAAATAAAATTAGTCATTAATTAAAAAGTTATGTAACCTAGCATTTCAATATAATAGTATATTAAAGAACGCGTTTCGTAAGGCAAGTTTTGTGGAACGAGCAGCGAAGTACGAGTTTTATAAAGAACCAGTTCCCACAAACGACTTATAGAACTAGTTTTTTGTTCTATTTTTTTCTAGTTTACGCGTTTTACGTACTTTTTTAACATAAAAGTCAATTTTTCAAAATTTAGTAAAGTGTTGGTTAGTAATAAATGACACAGAGTTTGAAAAAAATCGATTTTCGAAGTGTCAAAACTCGAATACTTTTCAAAATTTTGTTGAATTAGCAATGAATACTGCAAATATTTTATGTACATAATCTCAAAAAGCCGCTGAAAAGCACCATCGGTTTTGGTTTTGGTATCGAAATAAGCTTTCTTTCAGACGCAAAATAGAAAAATAAGTTTTCGATATACAAATGGATAAATGCGACTGATGGTGTCTTAATGCACTCCACGTTTTCTCATAGTTATCAATCCTATATGTTAATTTGACGTTTACGAGTTAGAAACCAAAAAAATATTTATTATAATTTCTTCAATTTATGTGTTATGTACAATTGCAACCATTAAATTTTAGTAGGTATGTAATGTTATTTTGAAACTTCATCTTTTTGTCAAAAAAAGTAGTTTCCCTGTGTAATTTTGTCTGTTATCAACCTTCTTTCAAAATGAATATAAATGTGAAAACACCACGCTAAAAACTGATTAACAATTTTTTTGATTATGTCGTCACAGGTCAGCTCGTAAGAAATTTGAATTTGAAGACAGATATATTTGAAATCCACACGTTTATTACCAAATGACATTGACTACCAAAATTTAATGCTCGAAACTGTACGTTATTAATTTATTAAAAAATTCATGAAAAATAAAAGTAGGAAAAGTTGTCAACGTTGTAAAATAATCGTAATTTTAAAATAACTAAACAGTATTTGCTTTTAAACAATTTTGGTTAGGAATTTTGTTAAAAAAATATACAACTTTTGAAAAAAAGTTACATTTTAAAACACACGCATATTTTCACACTGCAGTTGATGAAATTGCTGCAACCTTTGATTCCAATTTCCACAAATTTTGTTACAGAATTAGCATTTTATTGCTTTCTGTGCTTTTATAAACCATTGTTTTACGCAATCATTCTTGAAACAATTTTAAATTCTATGTTAACTAAATAGGTAGTGACATTTTTCATTTTTGACGTTTTACATTTTTTTTATGTTGTAATAAAAATAAAAGGAAACAAAATACAAAACAAACAAAAAAAACTAAATTATAAAAACAACGATTAATGAAAGATGAAATTCATTCCATCACAGGTTGCTAAATGTCAGTTATTTATGTTACAAGATTCAAAAAATTGTTAAATAAAAAAATCAAATATGATTCAAAAAAGAGCAAACTCACGACAAAAAAAATTGGGACAGCCATAAAACGTTTTGCACGGTAAAAAATGTTATTTAACCACAAAAATGGTTATTACTCTTATTTAAATTATTATTAATTTTTCGTTTTGTTACTCATGAAATGTTTTATTATCGTACTTTTTCCTTTTTGTCGTTTTGAAATTTTATTATCGAGTCCAAAAAAGCTCATTTTAGAGATTTATATGAATCTGTAAAATACCTATGTTTGAGAGCATTAACAAGAAATATTATTTTGTGTTTCATGATTATTTGTTTGTCTATAATAAATAACTAGGAGCGCTACATGCAAAAAATTAGTTGCACAATACAATTGATTCAAATTAAAAGAAATCTACCAAAATTTCAGTAATTTAAACTTCATTTTTGTCATTCCAAAATAATGTATTTCCAAAAATCCAAAGATAATTTTAATAATTACAAATACTTCCAAATAATTTCAAACAATTTCGATTAAATTCCAAAATTTTGTACAACTAAATCCAGAGAAAACCGTCTCTGTAAATAAATTAATAATTATGTAAATAAGAATAAAGTCCGTTTTTATACGTTTGAATCAATTAATTCGAAAGACGTACCAGATTGCTATCTCTTTTCAACATTTGTAAACAACCACTAAATAAAAATAGTTACTTTTTGTGCAGCAGTAAATTTTTTGCAACATTGACTTCTCCTTTTAACTCATTCATCACTTTGTGAAACTTTGTACATTAACAAATCACCCACCTCCTACATTTTCAACAAAATGCTTTAATTATCCACACCATGACTTAATAATAATATTTAGCAAATCTTGCTATTACATTTTTGTTTAGCACACATTTTTTTACTTTTTCTTTCTAATTTTAGCGAGTGTGTGTACTGTGTTAATGATATTTTCCAGTACCGTGGTCAAGATATGGATATTTAGTATGAGCACGGAAATCCTGTAAGCAACACGAAAACATAATGATTTTCTTGTGTTCATTTTTAATGATAGTGCAAGTGATAAATGCCAACGAAATTATACAAAACGGTCTTTTAGTGAACTCAACGGACAATAGTTTTTGTTTAAATAATTTTTCAGTCAACATTACAGATGGCGAAAATAATAATGGGGTTATATACAAAGATGGGATTAATTACACCAAGGGGGATTATTATGTAACTGGTGATGGTATTTTTGGTTGTGTTTGTAATATAAAATCATGCGTAAGAAAATGTTGTGGCCCCAATGAAATAGTGATAGATGGATGCACAAATGCGAATTATAGTTTCACATTTAAAATTTATAATGGTACAGCCTCAGTAGTAGTAAATGAGAGTGATTTTTATGTACTTTATGACTTGGAGTGCGATTATGGGCATTTTCGTTTAAACCCAAATTTCTATGAGCAAGATAATTTTTATGTCCAATTAAATGGTTCACTTTACGCTCCTTATGTAGATGAGAGAAGAACAGTGTATGGAATTGAAGAATACTGTCTTGAAACTTTTAATGAGGGTGATGGAAACATATTTTCAGCCGTGATTTGCCTTGAAAACAACATCGAAGAGCCACCAAAAATTATTAACCATATAGGTAAATTTTTATATTTATTTATATGTGTTTATTTTTGTGATATTTTTATAACAATTTTGAAATACTCTTGAGAATTTAATTTATTAGCTTGCCCGTTATAATAATTGATTAGGGTGCGTGTTTACATAGTATCCACCTACCGTACTACATGAAATAACAAAAAAATGGGTGTTCTTGTATCTAATAAGCTTAATGCGTGTGTGTTCTATAAATGCTTTGTTTCAAAGAATACATTTTCATAAGACTACTAGTATTTCTATGAATTTACACTGATATTCAATAGGTTTGAGAGAGAAATTAGACCAAATTCTGTTTATATAAATTCTAATTATATAAATTAACTCATTCTAAATTAATTAATTAGATTATACCGGGTGAATAAAAAGTATAGAACCAAACGTTTTGTGCTTAAATTATTTATTTTTTGGAAAAAAAAAGTACTAAAAAATGGACGTTTTATTAAGAATACAATTTCTCAAAATTTTCCTTTGTTTTTGAGTTCTATAAAAAGTTTATTTTTTTTTTAAATAACAACCCACTCTAAAACCATTTTTCTCATGAAAGTTATGGACTAACAATTAGAACTATCTACTTTATATTTAATTGTTTCAATTTTTTTTACAAAGGTACCTAAATTGTAATTTTGACAAAAAAAAATACTCATAAAATAATCATATTTGTTACATTACTTTAATTTATATTAATTGTTATTTTTGGTGGGAATTGATTAATAAAAACTGCTTAGTTCCTTACTTTATATTCACCTGTATCTACTTTATTAGTAACAAAATTCTCCATTAAAACAAACATTGTTAAAAAACATTTTCTTTTTATTTTCTGTATTTTATTTCAACGAGTTCTGTCAATGTTTGGGGAGGAATGTGCAATGGTCTTTTTGTTAAATGTAGCAGAAAAAAAATTAGACAATTTCTTACGTAAGAAACAAATAAAAATTATTTTTCGAATAAGTAAGTGACAATTTATTTATGGTTACGCTTCCTATCGCTTCCTAATGAATAAATTGAGTGTAACTTCGATTAGTTGCGAGTCGCATTACCAGTTTTTTGGATTACAGCAAAGCCAAAAAAATTCTTTTCTGTAGAACAAAATGAACAACACATTTTTTATTGCTTCTGGCAATTGGCGCAAAATCAAGGACTTTGTTGTGGACCATTCACACCATTTTTAGTATTCATTGAAGATATGAATGAATTTATCAAAGTATCAAACAAAATTTTCGTATTTTGATTATCGAGACCTATTATCAAAAACAATTTCTATATCTCAATTTCGGGTTAATGCTCGTTTTGATTTAATATTAACTAAATTTTTTTCCCAATTTTTATCCAAGGTTTCAAGTAGAAAATTGAGTTTTAATAATTTTCTTTTTATATTGACAGTATCAACAATACGTTATGTTATTTAGAAAGTATGTTTAATTGATAGGTAAACCAAATAATATTTCAAGTATTTTAAGTAAAAACTAGTTGTCTACTTTTAAGATATACCTACAACTATCTGTTAGAGAACGAATTCAAACTATTTCAAAATTTATCATTTTTTTTTCAAAGGGAAAAAAATAAAAAAAGTTCAGCCAGTTTAAACCACGTTGTTTTAATTCAACCTGGCTATAAAATTCTTCTATCCCGTGGTTTATACATATATTAGTTTTTTGTATTACTAGCACTTTTGTGTAACTCTTATTCAATTATAATGTGGAATACAAAGTTCGAACGAATTTAAGATATCCATGAAAACCTAGTGGAAAGTTCTTTCATTAATCAAATCACCCCTAGCTCATAATAGTTATAAATGACACACCTTTTTTTTCACCACGATTAAAGAATATAGAATAATAATATTTTTGGTAAGTCTATAACACTTTTCATGGATTTTTATGTTATATGTATAACCATCAAACTAATAATCTGACCATTAATTGATTCTAAAAAATACATTTTTTTGAAATAAATGACTTTTTTAATTGTCGTAGAAAAAATTGTGTACAAAACTCACAGGTGGCTGACGCCTCGTGCATAAGACTCCACACACTTGTGAGTTATTTGTCACTTTCTGCTATATCTATTCCTACTACAAATATAATTATGTATTTTTTTTAGATGGATATCTGACCCATTTTTTTCCGTCACAGTTTATTTAGATAACAAGAAAAAACCCAAACTCTATATGTTTCACAATATATAATAAACTATAATTTTATTACGAAGTGTATTTTGTAATAAAATTTTGAAACTTTGAATGTAAATACTTATTTATTATCAGGGTGCGCCAGAACTCGCGCCCCAGAGAACATGGAAAAAATGTTTAAAAAATTCTTTCTGTCAAAAAATTTTCACATTTATTTTTGACATTTGACATTTTTTATGTCTATTTAATCATACTGATGATCTTGTATATGTTTTTTTACAATTATTTAATAAAGGTAAAAAAAATTGCCAAAAATAACATTGAACAGAGTTACAATTTAAGAAACAGCTTCTTTGTTTCCTCTTCTAGTAACCTGTAGCAAAAAAACTTGAAGAGTTATTAAAAGTTAAAAATTAAGATAAAAAGTTAAAACTAGATACATATAAATTTTTGAGATTACAGTGGAACATCGATTGAGTGTACGTTATTTTTACACCATGGTTTGTACCGAACACGAAGTTCTTTACGTGTATCGAAACAAGTATAAAGTAATATAATAATAATATACAAAGTGAACCAAAAGTATGGAACCAACGGTTTTTTTTAATGATTTGCTTTTATAAAATAATAATTAATAAAAATTAAAGTGGTTATAAGAAATGTGATCGTGTTTTAAGTATGTATTAAAATTTGTTTTGTTTTCGAGTTACGCAATTTTTTTTATAAACATTTCTTTTGATTCTTGGATTAGAGCTTTTGCAAAAAAAATGCTTTATAATTGGTTGCCATTTAAAAAAACTGCAATGGTTTAAGAAACCAAGTGAAAGTTTTTTTCGGATCAATACACATCAATACATCAATACAATGATTAAAATGCACAAATACCGCGGAGCATTTGCACGAATGGGTAAGAATATAAATGCTACACGCTCAGCTGATGCGCCGCCATATTGGCCTTGGCCATTGCGGGCAGCAGTAATGCGACATGCGATAGATGATTGAGGCGATGTAATATAAGTTTTATTTTAAAAATTAAAAAGTATGCAAAACTTGGAAAAATTAAATTTTTTTTTTTTTTGATAAACGTCACATTTTTATAGTACTTTAGCATTTATCAGTTAGTTTTTTCAAAAAATAAGTTGTTAAGCAAAAAATACTTTTTGTTTCCTTGGTATTAAAGAGGTTCTACTGTATTAAACACTACTATAAGTATATCAAATCAGCAATTACGGAATTACTATCGAAATTAATACATTTATCAGTTGGTTCAGTGAATGCTCCGCGAATATATCAAAAATTTTATCAATGAGCTATTTATTTTGGTTTAGTATTTTTTCCTGTGTGTTTGTAATGGGTTATAGTAGTGAAGATAAACAGTTAACAATACCAAAATGTTGTAAAAATTTTGAAGTGTTAAATGAGACAAAAAAATGCACTTTTATCTTTGATCCAGGATTTTTAATTCCATTAAGTGTAGACATTTATAAACATACTGTTAAAGTCAGGACTGAAAATCAGTTTATATTTGAACAAAATGTAAACTGTAAATTTAAAATATTTTTGTCTCAGTTTTTTCTTCAAAGTGATGGGTCACTTCATGGAACACTTTATGGTGAAAATGTTTTTTTACCACCTGAAGATTTTTGTTTAGAATTGGATACCATGGGCAAGTTTTATGCGTGCCAATGTTACAGGGGTGATATTGAAAAAAAAATGCCTCCTATTTGGATTACTAGGGGTAACTATTATTGCACTTTTCTATTCCATCTTTTCTTAAATGAAAGTATTTATTTATTATTATTTATATTATTTATCACTCTGTATTTTATTTAAATACCTTGAACTGCAAAAATATAGCTAGTGATATTTAACAAAAAATGAAATTAGCGGCAAAACCTAAGATTCTTAGTCGGCAGCTGGTGCTAGTATCTAGTAAATAAATTTTTTGTTTGTTGAAACATTTTGAAAAAATATGCTCAATTAAATATAATTATAGATGAGCAAAAATCTACATAATAAGTGTGATTCAAAATATAATAAGAAAAATACTACATTTTTTGTATGAAAAATGATGGAAGGTTTTATCGAAAAATTACTACTTTCTACCTTATTTGACAAATGTTTAAAGAAGTTAACAAAAATTTAAAACGGCTGTTAAAAAATTGCTAAATAAATAATACTGAGTTGCTAAGTAAGATATTCTAAATGCTAAGTATTAAAATAATATTTGCTATGTGTAGAAAAAGTGGAACAAATTTTTATCTTTTAAGCACTCAAAATCACTCACTGAACAATCCTATATCTACGGCCCCGGCGCAAAAATACAGGGTGCGCCAGAACTCGCGCCCCAGAGAAAAAGGTAAAATACCAGGAACATGGAAAAAATGGTAAAAAAATTCGATCTATAAAAATTTTAAAGTTATGAGAGTTTAAATTTTGGAATTTGATTTTATTTATTTCTGTTGGAAAAATAATTTTCTAACTTTTTTTTGCTACAGGCTATTCGAAGAGGAAACAAGAAAGCTGTGTCCTAAATTGTAACTCTGTTCAATGTTATTTGTGGCTTTTATTAGCACTTTTACTAAATACTTATAAACAAACATATACAAGATTATCAATATTATTAAATATACGTAAAAAATGACAAATGTCAAAAAAATAATGTTCCTGGTATTTTATTTTACTTGAAATTTTAAGTAATTTATTGTTGGTATTTATTATTATTAAGTATGGTGACACTTCAATACTAAATAACTATATACAATAATTGGAACCTATACATTTTTTATATTGTAATTTCAATAAAAACACATCGTTTTCTAGGTTAAAGGATTGTTCGTGCCTGTTTTCAT